TACGAGGTATAGATATCACTTCATACTCAAAAAATAGTTTTTTTTACCATTGTGAGCTACATAATTTAATATTTTAACAATAACTTAATAAAAGTAGACGGCAAATCGGTACCAATTAAAAAAAGGCTAGTATTGAATAATTTAAAAGATTTGTATGAAAGTTTTACTAGTACGTATCGAACTAGGAAACGTAGTTTTTCAGAGTTTGCTTGCTTGAGGCCGAAATATTGTGTTTTGGCAGGTTCTTCTGGTACTTACTTTGTTTGTGTGTGTCATATACATAAAAATGTTAGTTTATTAGTGAGTGGTGCCAATTTTAAATCACTTCATTTCGGTTCTGAGCTGCCTTTAATCAGTTATAAGGATTGTTTGGATCGTATGGTATGCAAAAACAAAAAAAAAGACTGATTGTTATTTGAATTCTTGTAAGCAGTGCCTAGGCGTGAGGGATGTTATTCAGCAACTGGAGAAAATTTTTGAAGAAAAATGAATTGAAATTTTCACCTACAAACAATGGGTTATGGTTTAAAGAATCTCATTGCAGACCCTAACATTTTCAGTTTATGAATTTTCACAGAAGTTAAGCGATGGCTTGCAAAAACTATTGATTCATTTATTTTTGGTTAACAAACAAAGGGATTTTCGAAATGAGATGAAAAATAAACTGAGGGAAAAAAAGTGTATTTTAGTTCGCATTTTCTCAGAAAATTAGGCTTTCATAATTCAAAATTCTGTTCAGGGTATACATTGGAACAACGATCAGGNTAGAGGCGTTAAAAAAAATAAAAATGTGACATGCCATGTCATATACTTTTGCACTTCTACATCCAAGAATAAAGAAAATCAATAATTTTAACATTATTTACTGCGTATTTTCATAAGAAATATCGTACACAATTTTGACAGCAACTCGTACCTCATGTAAAATCCAAGAGATCAGCAGTTTTAACTATTAATTACTATGTAATTATTGTACTTTGACTTTTCTAGTGTCAATAAAGAATAATTAGGTTAAGCTATGCTTAGTCGTTTGGATTGGGAAGCTGACGTCTCCTCCTTAAACGCAAGAGTATAACAACTCTTTGCATACACCAATATTCGCCTTTTTTCTTTCATTAAGTGCTCTAAAATATCTATAAAGATTAAAGAGTAAGTTCTATTGCGTCTCTTAAGCAAATGTCAGACTGAACCTAGTGATTAAGCTACGTATTAGAACCGTGCATTTTAAGCAAATGTAAGACTTAATTCGATGACTAAGCTGTGTGAGAAAAGCTTGAGCAAATCATGACACTGTAGACTTGCTTTAATTAAAGTGAATTAAAGAGGAACAATAAAAAAAGACCTTTAACTTGGGTTTTGACATTAAAAGCAGCAGCCCAGTTGTCATCATCGCTACGAGTACTCTCGTGTAGGATTAGAATCATCGTTGCGGTCAACCTTGTAAGATCTTGCGACTGCGTGCGCGCAAGCAGCTGCTAACCAACGATCATAGAATTAAGTTAAGTTAAAAAAAACTATAAATTGTTAAAACACTGTAAAAGGGAACTTGACACCTTATAATTTATTTTATTGCTAAAAATTAATTATTTCCGGCCTTACTAAACTTATTAAGTTATCAAGTAAGATATAACTAGATTTTTGATAAAATTAATTTTCTCAATTCAAATATTTTAAGATTTAAAATCCCAATTGATAAAAACAAAATTTTAGCTTTAATTAATAAACTAAATACCAAACAAAAATTAAATAGATAATGTATAACAAAGACCTTTATGAGGACGTGAGATAAACAGACGAATAAAATTTGCTACTACTGCATTATACATAAGATATAAATTCAACTAGTAGGTCAACTTGGCTTGGCGCTTGTACTCTTGGCGTATGATACGTTAATACTACTTCATACATGCCATTCGGAAAACCTAATATGACAACGTTGAAACAACGATTTAAAAGCAAAGTATATTCTACGTAACAGCAATAAAGTTTTTGGGCCGATGGCTGGTTCTTGAGAAATAAAAATAAAATTATTTTGTTTGTAGAACGAATCTAAAAAATTACATTACCCTCAAGTATATTCTAAAAGATTTATTAATTTTCCAGAATATAGTATATTTATTACTTAATTTGAAAGCTTGAGGGAACACTAATAAGTTTAAAAATTTAGTACATCCAATAGGTACTCAAGCAAATATTGATACATTTTTATCATCGTATTAAGGAGGCGCATATGTATAGATGGCGGCACTTTTATATAAGCACTTTTAATTTCATCTATACATGCCCTTTTTTCAATATTAAATATACTAAAGATTTATAATACTAATTCACATAATCCCTTTTTCAAGAAATTTTCTTAAGAAATAAATAAGAATGGGATAAATATCCTCCCCCGGTGCGGATCGAACGCACAACCTCCTATTTACTTGACAGTTGCTCTACCATTTGAGCTACCGAGAAGCCGTACATTCACTCGCACCGTAGGTTTAGATAAGTTCTCATTCTTAATTTTTAAGCTGTCTTTCACCTAAGCTCGATTTAGTAGGTATATGACTCTAATGCTTGTAGGTAAGTTAGAAATCTAATTCGTCCAATGAGGCACGTACGGATAATATTAAGAGTGCTTGTGTAAAAAGTGCCGCCATCTATACATGTGCACCACTCGATACGATGATAAAAATATTTGCTTGTATACCTATTGAACGTATTAAATATCTAGCTTACCTGCAAGCAGTAAAGTCATATATCTACTCACAAGTTTAATTACAGTTGCTAGTATTTTAAACGTTGTTTTACCAAGGATTAATCAATGTTTTACTTAATCTTTTCTTCAATTAACAAAAAAAAAAAAATTTTCAACAGCTAAAATTTGAATGGTCTAAGTTGATCGAGATTCTTAAATGGATAAAAATTTTTAACAAATTTGTATCTATATGTTATTTATTATTCCAATTACAGAAATAGTTTTTGTGGATTTAAATTTTATAAAAAGTTTCAAGGAAAATTTATTAAGTATATGTTGTGTCCCGCCTGCAAGGGGACTGTATGAGTTATGTAACCGGATGGCTATGACCGTGAGGGTGGCAATGGAGGAGTCTTAACGAGGCCGAAGAAGTATGATAAAGCTCGAAAAATTAGCTCCCACATACCTAACACTATTAGGTGTCGAAATCAAAACTCTCACCTTTAATAAACACATAATAATTTAATAACATATGGGATTAATGTATATCACCATAGATGTCGAGTGCTGAAATTGAAATTATATTTATGGGAAAGCAAGTGAGCACGTAAAGGTGTAACTAAGCGAGAAAGATGCCATGCTATGTGAGGTGGCGCGCGGCGCTGGTGCTTGCGCGAGAAAGAATGCGTAGCATGCTCAACGAGAGCTCGCTGCAGACTGATTGACTGTAAGTAAGCAGACGTACGCATAAGGCCAGTCAAAGATATATCTATACACATGTATGCTCTACATAGCAGACACACACTGATGCATGCATACTAGCTTGATACTATGCAACGACAGTACCGCTACACTCGCGTAAACTAAACTATTAATAAACCTATGTATATTGTACAGGAAAAATTTCAAACCTTTTGAATCAGTAAAAGAGATAGAAGGACTTGTTTCAGTAATGACATGATATATCCAAACGAAGATTTGTAACAAATTGTTTTTGTGATAAGTTAATAATATAAATTCCTCCAGAACGATTTCCTAAAGACTTGACCAGTCATAGTACTATTGAACCACCTCTAGGTTTAATTACAATTAAAAGTGATATCATTGAATTATAATGAGATGAAACAAAGTTAAGCTAGATTTATATTTTCATTGATACTTAGCATAGTACGAAAAAAAAGCTATAAGTCGTTGATCTTATCCTTGCAAAATCTTTTGACTTGCATCAGTAAACCATTTGGTAATATACTTGCGACTTTAGATAGTAGTTTTTGGCAAATTATTTAAATTTAAAAAATACAAATAAAAAAATAGCCAATAACCATGAAACTAAAAATCTTGAATAATTTAATAGAATCGTAAAATTATAAACTAACATTCGTTTAGTTTGTAAAAAGTTCTTGTATTTGTTACAAGTAGGAGACCATAAAATTAAATTATTCAATTTTTAATATGGAAGACACATGATATTTGTTCAAATGTTTTCAGTCATGTTAACGAATTTGCTATAACAAACGTTATTTTCATATGTCACAATGAGTACAAGTAATTTTTTAATAGCTAAATATGTATAACAATGACTGGACTAAGTACAACTTATGATGATGTATATTATGATGTAAAGAATATAAGGGGTGCTCAGTTGACGTCACAGTTTTTTTTTGCGTATTCCCTGACTTTTAACACGTTTGTTCACTATTATTTTATGAGATCATTTATAAGAAGTAAAGGATAAAGAAATAAAAAATGTATTGGTAACAACTAAATTTTTCAAATTATAATTAAGATTTGGGCATAAATCTAGGTAAGACTGCACTTTTATTACAGTTGTTGCTATTGATTCTTCGAGTGATACTGGTCGTAGTAATTCTGCTATGTATACGAAGGACCAAGAAACGGAGGATAGTAAGAAGGTATTGTTAATTTAAATGGAAAAACGAAAATATTACAGAGATAACTGTAGGCAAGAGCAAAAATGGAAGTGGCAATAGAGATGAGATGCCATTAGAATCCTCACAAGTGTATAATATTAGAAAATAAATGTAAATGTTATTGCTTTTTTTTCATTTTTTAAATTTTTTACCAAATATTTTAATATTGTAGGCAGTTTTGTCAAATGATTTCTTTATATTAGAATATATTTTGATATGTCTACGTATTTATGTATAGATCTTAGGATTACGAAAATTTTTAGTAAACGCATATACAACGCATCAATAACCCAATTACTTTTTCAATCTAAATCAATTTTATTATCCATTCATAAAATTTTTTTTAAGTCATTATAAAACTACATTTTCAAATATTTTTGTTTCAGGGTGAACCATTTGTGAAAATGAAGGAAAGGTTGTTTAAGAAATTAGGTGTGCAAGAAAAGGAGTTTGAGAAGGTTTGTTATATTTATATCTTTTCACTTATTTTAAAAACTGGAGACCTAATCTATATCGTTGTACTAGTTTAAGTTCGCGATTGTTTCTGCAAATAAAGCGCATCTCATCAATGATACACCCGAATACTGTATGGATTTATCTGATTTTAAACCACATCAAAATCAAAGTAAGTACCTTTACCAACATATTCAAGCACTTACTATCGTACTAGTTCTATAGAAATCTATAATTTATTAAAATTCAATTACATGTTATCGGTGTTGTGTTATTTTCTTAACTTTTATTGTAATTTTTAATCTAGTTGTCTTAATATTGTTTCATGCAGTATATTTACTAATTTGATATAATATTGCAAAATTTTCTTTGCTATATGTGTATCAAGTGTGACACACAGAACCTTGTACACTAAGGTATTTTTTTTTAACAGCATATAGACTTTATCTATGAAGGCCTCTCACTTGCTCTGTCTAGAACCAATGTTCTATTATTCAATTTTTTTACAAACATGCGTCTCAAATGAAAATGCTTTTTTTTAGATCATATTTTGCTACTAATATTTTGTTTCTTATCTATCTACAAGCTCAGTAATTTTTCGCCAACTATATCACGTGATAAGTGTTAATTTTAACCCTAGCTAATTACCCCTCACCTCATCTCCTGTTTGCTGACTGACCATAAAATTAAAGGATCCTACCTAAGGGTCACCGTATAATGCAAAATCAGCCGCAAAGTTTTGGAATGCATGGCAGCTAAAAACAACTCAAAGGCCGAGTCGGTGAACTTATCCCCTCAATAAGCGCATTGCGAAAAAAATTTGAAGGAATTGCAAGTGATTTCCAATAAGAAAAATTTGACTCAATATTTTTTAGTACAGCATAAAAAAATATTTATTAAGAGGCAAGTGAACGTTAAAAAGTTGTGATCGAAAATTCAACTGAAATGTTAGTTTTCAGTTTAGTTTCAGAAACAGTAATACATGCAATAATGCTAGGACTGTACTAACTGCGGTTATACTGTAAGTCGTTATCTATGCTGACATTGAATCATCTACCCCATAAAATAGCTTCAATCTGTCCACTAAGTATCACAAAATTGAGATTATGAAAATAGCTGCCCAGTATTAGTTGGCATCTTAATTATTAAATCTTTTTTTAAGTTTTCAGCTATTTTTGCGATACTGCTTTCGAGATTTTAAGCAATTATCATAATACACTTGAACAATGGTAAACTTACTAGTCGTCCAATGATTGTTATTAAAATATTACTAAAAATTCAAAGACTTTTTTAAGATACTACACTATCTTATTTTTTTTGTCTAGAGATGGAAAGCTCTTTCTGATACTTACAATGGTTAAAATTTTTAACTTCAAAAAAGAACTTTCTAACGTATTGAACCAGCAAACGTTTTGTTTAAGGAATTCCCTGTAAGCCAAATATTTCCGTGCCACAAAATTTCTGCACATTTCAATAGCAAGTATGTTCAAATGTAAAGTGCTTATGTACAACATCACAGAATTTCATAGCTACTGAGTAAATTTTTTTTTACTACGTGCAAGCCTGTAAAAGAATTACTACAGACTAACGACTTATTTATTAATGGTTTCGTTAGTATACTTATTTATAAACAAATGACTTTAATGAATTGTAATTTTGATGCTTTTCTTTCCTCCCGAAACTCACTTTCTTGGCTCATAGAATAGTACATTACACCTTATGGGTAAAAAGTACGGCATTTCCTTCTAGGTGTCAGTTGTTATCTGAGCAGAAAACAGAAACCCTAAATACTTTTATCAATAAGTAGTAAATTTTTATTCTGTATGTCATAATGCACTTTTTTCCATATTATCACAACGAAAGTCGTATTTGGGCCTCGGGAAAAAAGTACTGCATCATCTGTCAGATGTAAGCCTTTGACTTAGGTGACAATGTACGCCCGGGAAAGAACGCTGTACTTTCTACCCTTGTGACGTTGTATAATATTGGCATCCTCTGCAAGGAAATTGCCTTCCAAGCTAAAGGTGAGCGTGGCAATCACGCAGAGAATAAAAAAATACTTTTCCTATGAGCAGTAAATAAAATTTTTCACCTTGGAGGAAATATGGCACTGTGCTCCCTGAAATGGTATGGTGTTTCACCGGAAATACCCCACTGTGCCCGTAGTATGATACACGTACTATGTCAAATAAGAGATTGGTAAAATAGGTGTGGCAATACACCCCCATACATAGGTGGTAAATGGGTGGCCCCGGTGACTGGGCAAATAGTCTGTCGTTGTTACCTGGTTAAAAAAATAAAAATAGAAAGTAAAAATCAAATACACAGATACAACTTGGCCATTTTTTACGGTAATTAATAAATATAATACAGTGCTTTGAAGAGCAGAGCTCCCTAGCCAAAGTACTGGACTCAAGTTGCTGAAAACAAAAGTAGAAAGTGACCAGCCCTTATCCTGCTGGCCCTTTTATACCCGAACCTACGAGGGTAACTTAAGTTAAGTGGCTCTGATTAGCTCTTGCATAAGGTGCATCCCCATCAGATACGTTTAATTATTAAGGCGCCTTTACATATTTAAATAGCGTGAAAATTTAAATTCATGATAGCTTAGGTTTGGTAGTATATTCAAAGAAAAATTAATTAAAATATACTTGCACTCTCACAACAACATAAGTTTAGAAGCTCCAGACAAAGTCATAACTATGTCCTAACTGATTTTGGAAACGGTTCACTTATAAATAGTTTGATTGTTTGTTCAAAAAATATCCCATACCAATCATAGATTGTGGAAGAATCACAATAACACGTTGTTATAACGTATGTTACTAATAAAGAAAACGTTCCTATTAACCCAGTTTTATTTAAAAATGAGCTCTTGTCATCAAGGATAATAAAAGCTAATAATTTCTGGAAAAATTAACAGATATTTCTAAAAAGTTTTCGAAACTTTTATAAAACGTATGGAAATTCAAAGAGAGCTTAAAAAAAAAATTATTTTGTCTGTCACTGTTAATGCTCTCAATAATAAAAAATAATGACAATACACTAAAATAAAGAAAAAAAAATTAATAATTTAGATCGAAAACAAAAGCTTATTTATCCAAAGGCAGTCATTTTAACCACATGGCCAAGAAAAATAAGATATTTAAGATATTGTTTATCTTTAAAAAAATTCCTGTGTTTTTTTCAGTTAATAGTATTAAAAAAAGACATCTAAAGGACTTTTTTTATTCTTTTGTTTATGTATAAAATTTTAAAGCTTATTTTACTCGAGAAATGATTTACCCTAGTTTAACTGAATTAAATTCTTAAAACATAAAGTATTTCAGTTTCTTAGATCATTTTTGGCATGAATTGGTTCCCAAGACACGAGGCTGGTTATGCGCTGCACAGTGACTCGGGTAAAAGAGCAGATAATAATACAATTTGATAAACATCTTGCTCTCGTTCTTTCAAGTTAAAACAGATGCTGCACACGTCGTTTCACTTCAATAATTGAATCGCAGCCCTACTGTACATGCGTCCACAAAAACATTCCAATAAGAATTGAAAATTACCATCTAATGAAGCATTATCTATTTACTCTGTAGACGAAAAATATGTCGATGTAAATCCTTAGTTGGACTGCTCACGGGTAGCTTAAATGTCGGTTGCTTGGAATCTCTTTGCCAATACGTGTTTCTGGCTAACATTTACTAACAAGGCTTTACAATTGATTCTAAATAATGAGATGACCCAGAAATAGACTTCATAGGGGTTAGATAGGTGTTGGACTTACTGTAGGGAAAAAGTTAGTAAGACTTAAGGATGAAAAGTTGGATCCACGAGGTATTATTAGTTACATAAGGACAAAGAGTTTTCTTATAGAGGTTGCGATATAGTTGGGACTATGGTAAAATAAGTTATAATTAGGGTTAGGATCAACATCCTGTACATAAAAGTGGTAGCAGGTACTTGTAAAATTAGACATTAGTTTTTTAGTGTGCAAGGAACAAAATATAAGACAAATACACAGTATACGGTTCGAAATTTAGTAACAGTTAAGTCCTCTAGCGTAAACTATAATCAACCAACAAGAAACTAAAAAAAGGAGAAACCCCTCGTTCTGTACACATTTTTTTTAGTTTTATTGTAAATAGTACAATGTCAAATAGACTGAGCTTATGTTAGGATCTATTAAATTATAACTAATTTTGCTTAACAATAGCAACAGAGTTGTTAGTAATATTATTATATGATGAAACAAAGACCAAAACATTTAACTAGTACGTATTAACATATCGCTGGTAGTTTTTGCATTAAATACTCTGTATTAAATTTGTCAGTGTAGAGACAAATTTTTAGCAACATTTACGCTTACGCATATTAAATTATATTACTAGTTTGCTATTACCTTTCAATTTTATCATTCACTATTATTATCACTATTATTACGACTGACTTCTTTTATTCATTATAAAATGAATGTAATTTTGATTTTATGTTTTCTCACTAACTGCGTTTTTTTTGTGTCTCTTTTTTTGTAACTTTACAAATTTTATTTTTGTGATAATACTCTCTCAACATTGAAATTTAGTTCTAAATGATTGATTAATAAATTGAAAGCTGGTAATATATATATANGGAAGTAGCGTGGATTTTACCGAGAAAGTATCAGGTAAAATCATGAGAAATCAATACTATATATACGTATATACATATATTATAGAGTTATAAGACCAAATTCAGACTCCAAGACTTAAAGTCTTTTGAAATTTCTCTGGGTTGAAAAATTGATCACGTTTGTTAACAAATTAATGAGGATGGTGTAAATAGCTGCCAGAACAAAGTAATTCAAACAACTCATCATAAACTTTTGTACATTTTAAATAATAAAATTTTGAATTCGACTAAAGAGAAAGAACATACTTATAACATCATAAGTTATGCAAAATTTAAAGATAGTTATCGCACTGCTGAAAACATAAACATAAATTTTTCTGTAAAACCTTTAAATATTATACATAAAGTATTACCGCCCCATGATTTAAATTTAAAAGTAGATGCTATTGTTATGTTGAGAAAAAACTTGAGCATATTCGATGGCTTATGCCAGGGAAAAAGACTACGTATAACAAAAATATTTGAATGTAATTACGAAACAGAAATAATAACTGGTAAAGAATCTGGTTA